AAATTTTATATGAATGTATGTTACTTGATTGTTGTAAGTGTTGCAAATGCTTACAGCTGAATCCTGGCTATGTTTGTATACTTTTTATTTAAAATTGTATACAGTGTAACATTCTTCTTCTTCCACTGGGTAAGTATATTAGTACTTAGGCAATACTGTGCTTCGGAACTTCGGCACTTCGGTACTTTAGCACTTCGGCACTTCGACACTTCAGAAATTCTGTATTTTCGGAACTTTGGGACCTCTGTAATTCGGCACCTCTGCAATTCGGCACTTCGGCAATTTGGACATTCAGAAGTACCCGAATGTCCAAATTGCCCGAAATTTGTCCGAATTCATATTCGGCCCGAAACTAATTGCACATGTCTACTGATAAAGTATGATAAAAGCGATTATGTATATATATTCCTCCCAGGGAACAGAATTAATTGTGTATGTAAACAATCATGTGAGTCCTTTCTAAAAGGTTCACTCCAATTCTAAATGATTACAGTGATTAAATATTTTATAATCCAAATTTTATTATAGCTAGTGACTAAAGAGAAAAAGAAAAAAAAATCCCATTATATATAATCATTATCTGTGTAATTGTTCTCATAAAATAACTATATTTATGAGCATGAGTATTTATGTACATTCATTCTGAACAGAGAAAAAAATAATAATGTATATACAAAAAGTAAATATAATAATCCACCTCTCATTGATGTGGAGAAAATAAACGTCATCAGCATTTTCATTGATCTTTTTTTTCTTCTCGTTTTACTTTTTCTTCGCAAAAAAAAATAAGTTCCTCATTCTTTAACTTGTTTTGTTCATGATAAATTAGAGGCTTTAATCCAAGATGCAAGCTTTTCTAGTGTCTCAAAATTTTCTTGAGTCTTGTCGGGAATCCCCATCGATAGGCGATGTTATATTGTCTCAGAGAGCCGAGTAGAGGTCTGAAATTGCTTCTCCATTTTCTGGTATGGTAAAATAAATCCTGGAATATTCTCAAGTTTTTATATTTATCTTCCTGCGGTGGATTTTTTTCTTACTGCGGTCATATTTCTGACTTTTGCATGGAAATAGTGCAAATTGACAATTACATGTCTAAGTGAAGACTATGGGATTTGGTGAGGTCTAGGTAAACAATGGAAGCGATCCATCAGGTAACCATGTGTATCTCCATCTAGTAATAAGTAACCAAAGTATTCTTGAAGGAAACTCCGTAGATTCTGATTGGAGATATCCTCTGGGATACCATGAATCCTGAAATTTGACCTTCTAGAGCGATCTTCTAGGCCATTTAATTTTGCTTCCAGAATGTTGTCTGTTAATGTCAGAGAGGTTTCTTGAAGATGGGAATAATGTGTTTCTAATTTAGACAGATTTGTTTCCATTGTGGATAGTTTATCATATAGGCATTTTATTTCCTGTTTGAGTGCCGAAGTACTGGTTGCTATGTCATACCCAATTGTTTCTGAATGGGACATCAGATAGTCCATCAATAGTTCTTTGGTCAATGCTGGTTGGATCTGTGTATTTGATACAGCTGGAATATTTATTGTAGATAAATCCAAATTCTCCTGGCTTAATTGTGATTTATTTTGAGTTGGAGAAAAGAAACCTGATTGTCTCTTGTCCAGATTTAGATCTTTCTTATCTTTGTTTCCTCTTTTCTTCCTGGGGCTTTCTTGTTGCCATTATAAAGTGAAGAAAAAAGAAAGAAAAAAGGCCAGAACAGAAAACCTGAGATTCAGTTGTTGACTGTTTTAATTTATTCTTGGTATATTTGATTCTCCAAGTTATCTTTCCTTTAAATAATGTATTCAAGTATTGTAAGTAAAGTCAACAGTTGACTTTGAATAACAGCCAACCATATTAATATATATATTGCCTTTGTTTAGGCTAATATAGTTGCTTGATAATTGTAATCAGATGCGTAACTAAAAACCGCGGGGCCCCGGTGCAAAAATTGCCCTTGGCCCCCCACCATACATTTTTGTCACTTATCTGTTTCTGGTTGCGAGGTTCTTCTCCACAGCTCGCATGCCTGTATCCATCACTGGATTTGCAGTAGTGAACTCTGCAAAATTGGCTGTATGCCAAGGAGGCTTCCTCCCTATGTGCTTGAAATGGCTCTACTCCACAAGCACTCTGCTCGTCCCTTTGCTGCATCTGCGCTCGAGTCAGCCAGTCTCCGATAACAATTTGAGCAGTTTAGTTCTGACCTGTGTTCCCCGGTTAGCGTTTTTCTCAGGTAGCTGGGAGAAGGGATCTGCTATATCTTTTTATATATTTTTGTGCATGTGTTTGTTTTTTGCTCATTTTAACAAATCAACCAAATTGATTGACAATGCTTGAACCCTCCTTAAACTTTATCATGGCTAGGACACTCTAATCTTTAACATATCTGGGCCAGGATACAAGCCTATCTGTAGAGTGCTGGGGATAAGATGAAGACCAGACAACTCAATAGTTCACATAGTGATTTTGGTAATTTAAAATGTACATTGACATTAGATTGGTGATCCTTTCTTAATTGCAAAACGATATCAGTGACCCATGATTCATGAGTAATATAATTAATATTGAGTTTACATTTACAAAAGGAAATAGTCTCTTACTTACGATTTTCTTTTCAACAGGAAAGTTAGAACTATTATAGTAAATATCCTATTGTGAAAAGATGCACAGGGAGGATAAATATGATTTTTGCTTTTTCTAGCAACTGGGGACCCAATGGAATAGCATGGGGTCCACATTTGCAGTCTCAGCAGAGGTGTTCAAAACCACAAGGTTAAAGTAACATTTTTAAGTGACATGATTTTATTTGTTACATAAGTCAAGAGGTAGTGACATAATAATGATAGTGATAATACAGGAACAGAAAATGTAGATGACCTTGAGAAAGTGACTTGCTGACAAAACAAGTCCAACCCAAGACATGTGGCGATACTTCCCGGGAGCACTTCCAGATTCCGGACACTGCAGAATAGAGGCCTTAAATATTGCAGGATAATTGCTACAGCAATTACCAATGGGGTTGTGCCCCACATTGTAAGATTTGGTTGCTTGTTTGTTTGAATTGGATTTGCTCTCCTTTCTCCACACATCAGTGCTTGCTATTTACAGGATCTTTAAGCACTAAAGGAGAGTGATGATTGCTGAGAATCATCATAAGAAGGATTTTACCATATCCTGCATGTACTGAATTTAACTTAAGCACCTACTATAACTTTTTGGCTTGTAAGAGCAATAATTAACCCACCATATCACTATTTCCATCACAATACTAAGCTATCTTTATATTTTGTTTTTGTAGGTTAGCAGTTTTACTAGTTGTTGGTATCTTGTTCTAAACATTTAAAGCCTGGCTGACAATTATTGTTCACACCATCATTATTATAGGTGAAAACCAAAGCAAGGTGTGTGATCTGTGGACCATTTATAACTCCACTGTCCTCCTTTCTACTTGATGATCACTCTTAATTTCATGTAACTGCTGTTCTTAATCATTTATCCTATTAGGTGTGGGCTTTAAAGTGACAAATATCTATATTTGTACTTTATGTATCTTGACTATATATTTCATAATTTTCCATTATTATGTCAAAGTCCTGAAAAATGTTTTACCAAAAAAGAATAATGATCCAGCAGAGTACACAAAACATTGCAGCTTTATTTGTGTGAACATCGGCAAGAGGAACTGCAACCCTTTGGGAACCAAAGCCTAACGCATTTCAGACCGAGCTGTCCTATAGAATACATTTTAAAAATGGTGCTGTTATAAAAGGTTGTAATGGTACTGCACTCTTATAAACAGTGATTTAATGGTACTGCACTCATAAGTGGTACTGTTCTTTTATAAATAGCAGTGTAATAGTACTGCATGCATATGGATGGCATTGTGATGGTACCACACTCTTATTAATTAAATAGACAAATAAAAAATGAGTTATCTTGTGATAACATGTATACAGCTGATTGCTGCCACTCACGAGGGTTGCCCCCTAATCCCTTTAACAAACAACAAAAAAAAGTTTATATAGGTGACCCCTCAAACAGCTGAGAGATCTAAACACCATGAATGTGCAAGTTCAGTTGTGAAAATGCAATGAAATTACCATACGGGAATGTATTTTCAATTCCCAGAGATGTTGCAATGTTTTGAGGTCCTGGATTAGATCTGGACTGGACCATAACATCTCTTCCTGTTTCTACCCAGGACCTGATTTAGATCTGGACTGGACCTTGACAATTTCCCTGCTTCTACCCTTGGAACTGAGACCTTAGCTTGGAAAACAACTCCCTCTTCTTGAATTACCCCTATTTGCACTGCGACCCCATTCAGATGGATCTAAGATTTTAAGAAATTAACTGGTGTTTAAAGGCATTGTAATGTAATAATCCACTTCTCAATTGTGCTTATTTATCTTCAAACATAGTTTTTCAAAAATGTATCTTGGCAAAGGTTTTGTGAAAATGTCAGCTGTCATCTCTGCTGTTGTCTCTCAATACATAATTTTTGGTACAGGTCTCTTATTGTATGACATCTAATGTCAATTTGCTTGGTGCATGCATGTACTTTCTCTGTTTGCTCCATCTTTAAACAGCTCTAGTTGTCTTTCGTCAGATGAATAAGCTTTGGCTCTGGCATTCTCAAGACATTGGTTATACCATTGTGTATCCTTGACTGCTTCTGCTGCTGAGATATACTCTGCTCATGTAGACAAATGTGCCACTGATTCTTGCTTATGACTAGTCCAGCTGATAGGACAATTCCCACATAAGAACATGTGGCTACTTATAAATTTAACTTCTAATTTGCCTCCAGTGCAATCTGCATCTGTATATTCTGCAACTTTGGGATATTTGACATCTCATAACTTTAGCTGTCAAAGCTAAATGAGCAGATCTTTTGAGAAATCTTACTACTTGCTTACGTGGAATCCAGTATCTTATAGTGGGAGATGCAATGTCAGGTCTGCAAGTTGTAGCTTGGTACAAAAGCTTGCCTACAGTCTTGTTGTCCCTCACTGCACAACAAAACGTCACCTACATAAACTTGTAGATAAGCCCATTTACCGTTTATATGTCTGGTGAATAGAGATGCATCTGTTTTGCTCTGAATTAAGTTTTATTCTGTGAGCATTTCTCATAACTCATACAATCTGTGGAGTTAGACTTGTCCAGGGTGTAAAATGTTGGTTCTTCAAACAATTTTGTTCTACACCTCCAAAATTTGGAGATATGTCGATACGGACAAATTTATTTTGGAAAGCCATAAAATTTACTAAATTCAGTGTGCTTTAAGGGTTAATCATGTGGCAGCTGGCTAGCACTTGCATGGCCACATTGGCCAGCACTAACATTAAAATGTTAAGAAAAATTAAGCCTATGGGGGTCAATACATTACAGTATATGCTTTTTCTTAAATAAAGCTTTTTACCTTGGTTTATCTGTTCTAAGCATAGAACATAATTTATTAGGCTGCAGGAAAGGGGTACCTCTATAAATATTGAAAACAACATCCTAGTGGCCATCAGTAAAGAGAATTTATTTCGAGCAGTTCACTCCATCCCTTTTTAGCATGGTTGTTACTTTACGACCTGACATACTTGTCTGCTTCTTGTTCACAAACATGCGGCAAACAGCATCACCTCTCGTATTCCTGACATGATATGAAACACGCTGGGGAATTCACTAAGAAAAACTGCTAATGGCAACTTATGTGTGAGCATGTACAGTGCTTGGGTTTAATGTCACTCTAGAGACAGGAGCAATCTTAGCAATCCGAGGAAGATCTTCTTGTCAAATCAATAAAAAATATTTGTGCATTATCGCAGGCAGCATGCCACCCCCCGTAGTAAAAGAAAGAATAACCTTCTGTAACACCTATTAAACTTCTGTTCTGCATGTTAGAATGCAGACTGCATATTCTCCAACAGAAACCCAAAGGTTTTTATTCTCAGTCAAATCTATGTAGATACGGACGTCCGATGATTGAGTTGTCCCAGGTGCAAAATAAAACGTGTGTTTCTTCCAATTGCATCTTTTGTCTTTGATAAATCCAGAGATATATGTTGAACTTCAATCGATGGCTAAGAAAAATAGTATGCACCATGAGCAAGAAGCAATTTGCAAGTTTTAGGGGGAGTTTCCATCACATTCATGTAAATGGGTTTATTTAGTAAACAATGAATTATAAGCAATTGACAACATAATGTGCAAAATGTAGACTTGCATCAAAGCATATAGGGTTATTTACTAAATCGTAGGAAATCCAAAGTGAAAGTCATATTTAAAACACAAAATCAGTTAGCTATGTTTTTAGTTCAGCTATTTTGATCTAAAATATAAAATTCATGTAGAATTTCCATGGATACCCTACAGTAAATAAGCCTGTAAATTGGAGACTTTTTTCCACTTTTCACCCAGATTTTGTCATTTTTTTTATTGACTTACCGCAGTCCATAATGAACGTCTCTGCAACGCTCATCTACCTTACGTCCAAGAATGCTTACACCTCACCCCTACGTCAGTCTCAGTCTGTTTAATTTAGAATTTCATTCAAAGTTCTAATGCTTACTTACAAAGCTCTCCATTACTGCTACCCTGCTTACATCTCCTCACTCATTAGCAGACATGCTCCATTTTAGCCTCTTCGCTCAGCTGATTGCTTATTATTGTTCCATTCTCTCACCCACATCCCAGATTCTCCAGGGCTCCCTGCTCTTTATGGAATGCCCTTCCATGGGACATCTGACTCTCCTCGTCTCTGCACTCCTTCAAAAATACCTAAAAACACACTTTGTTTCGAGAGACCTATCAGTTTTCCCCTTTAGTCCTAATCCCTTCAACTTTCATCTGCCACCTAATCCCTTCAACTTTCGTCTGTTCTCCCTCCTCCCAAACACCCATCCCATACCTAGGTACATTTAAGTCACTTGATTCCCTTACTTTCCCTTTGTGCATGTGTCGCTCATCTCTTTAGATTGTGATCTAATATGGGCAGGAAAGCCGTCTTCCCCTTCTGTTCCCATATGTCATGCATGCTTTGTTGGAATTAAATATTTGCCTTGTTTCCTATTGTACAGCACTGTGGAATAAGTTGACACTATATAAATAATTGTAATTACCACATCCCAAGTTCAATTTAGTATATGAAACTGAAACTGTAAGAGTGTGGGTGAGTATTTTATGACAGAGCATATGTTTTTTTCTGCTACAAACTTTACAAAACTGAAACCAATGAAGGCACAATTACTATTGCCATTAATTTGAAGTGTATGTTTAACCCCTTAAGGACCAAACTTCTGGAATAAAAGGGAATCATGACATGTCACACATGTCATGTGTCCTTAAGGGGTTAATGTCGGCATAGTAGTTAATGTTAAGTATAGTGTTAATGTTAATTATACTACAGGGTAGTTGAACGTTTCAATCTGATTGGTTGACGAACGTTCTAAGGTGTGCATTATTTTCAGGGAGATGCACGGCTAAAGTAGTTCCAGACAGGTCTTGATCGCATTACAGTTGCGTAAGAAATTAGTCCTACATACAAGAGTGTTTTAATGACAAAAACTTGAAATGCATCATCTGAACAATGTTTCGAGGTGTGGTAACTGTAGTATATGCGGAATAATTGACTCCATGCCGTTTAATTATTAGAAAAAAAAGAATGCACACCCGAGGTGTAATGGCCACTCCGCTTCGCGCCGTGACTGCATTACCACCTCGGGTGTGCATTATTTTTCTAACAATTCATCGGCCCGTCTTCAATTATTCCTTACGTATACGCCCCTGGTATTGCTTGTGATTAGTAGGAGTTACAGTCCCGGACACAGCAGTTTCAGCTTACATCAATAAAATGGCAGGAAGTGTCACTGTCTCCAATATATATTTTAATATCTCTGTAAGAAGACTGTAATAATTGTTTTTATTATATCTTATGTGAAAAAAAACTCTAATGTTCTCTTTTAGAATAAAATTCCTGACCTCAAACATTAAAAAAAATACAATTTCGAGAGTATAACTATTGAGATTATAGGATAGTAATTATTTTTAGCTAATCACACCATCTGCCATAAAATCAGTGGTTTGTTCAACACATTACTAACCATTTAGCTCTGCACACAAATGGGAGCTAATACATTAGTCACCTGTACAATGAATGTGTTGGTTTGCAAAAAAAAACTTAAATTGAAGAGCAAAATAACTTTCACTCAATGAGAAGAGACAATGCGTCTGAGTGATTACCTGTGCTTAATTACCTTACCATAGCAGATAAGGACTTTTTTTGAAGAATCGTGAAAAAAAATAGAAATTGTCATAGATCATCATTCATTTAAACATAGGCTTTTGCAAAATAGCTATTTCCAAGGTACTTCATAAAATAACCCCTAGATTGTTTACTGCTCAACTAACGACATTGAGTCCTACATCAACAAGATTATATTAATTAAAATTAAAAAAATAAAATAAAGCATGATATTTGGAGTCAACTATACAGCCCAGTGGAGGGTATTGCTGTGGATGTAGGGTTTTAATGCAGTGGGTGAAGGGCTAATTTAACATGGCTTGAGGTTAATATAGTAGGTTTGGAGTTTACAAATATAGGTTCATGAAATTCTCTGAATTTAACCAAAAGATTTGGTGTCACAATAGAAGTTATAGAGCATGTATTGTTTAGTTTATTTTTACATCCGCACCCCCCTTACAATATTGCAAAGCGCTACAGAAAGGTTGGAGCTTTATAAATGCCAACAATAGAGTCATAATAATATTAATAATAATAAGAACATATTAGGGCCCCTGGTGTTTTTGCATCCTAGTAACGCCCCTGGAAATAAGTCATCTTAATTTATCTTGCTTTCTCAGTTGCTTTTACTGATTAGATGCCTGTGGTGCTGTCATCCTAATACATCTTAAATTCTCTTCTAAACACGAATATCTAACCTAATTGGGTAGTTGTAGACATTGTACTAAAATTGTGAAGAATTGCCAAGGGAAATATAAACTTTGGGCTAAAATAGGTCGAAAATTAAAAAAAAGAAAACCCCAACTCAACTATTTTCTAAGTTAGGCTGTTTTGGCTTTAAATGTGCACTTCTCTTCTGAAATTAACCAATATTTTTGGTTTAGTGAACTTCTGCAGTGTCTGGAAAATAGAGTAATATAACTAACAATTCTTCTAAGGATACAAAAAAAAAAAAAAAAAAAACATTTATGCACTATTAATACATCAAGAATTTGATGCAAGCCAATTATATGAAATACAAATATCAATTTTAATTTGCAAACAGATTAGCAGATAATATTTTGTGTTTGTGTTAAATTTATCAAAGTCAAATTCAAAATTCCAGGTTGTTCAGAACTTCTCCCAAGCTAAAAATCTAGAAAAAAAATTCTAATAGGTTTTGATATTTATTTTTTTGCAGTTATTATGGATTGTAATAATGTCTTCCAGCATAAAATATGAACAAGCACAGAAACATGGATAGTTTTGGGCTCTTATTTTTTTCCTAACGGAAATGTGTGTCTTTGGAGTCAGTCAAATGTTAAAGGTAGCCTATAATTTTAAATGTCCAAAGGAAGTTTAAAATACCATTTTGTTTCTATAAAAAAATGCAAAAGTTATATTACTATTTTACAGGATATGAGTCAAATTCACAAAAAGTCAGCTTTATGGCAAGTGCATAACTTTGCATTTCTCTACATTAAATTGTATCTGCCATTTTAGTGCCCAGTCCCCCAATCTATCCAAATCCATCTGCAGCAAAGCAATATACTGCTCACATTTTATTACTTTACAAAGTTTTGTGTCATCTGCAAACACTGAAACATGGCTTTTAATGCCTATTTCAAGATCATTAATAAATATGTTAAATATAAGCGGTCCCAAAACAGAACCCTGAAGGACACCACTTACCACTTTTGTCCAACCTGAAAATTTACCATTAATGACAACTCATTGTACTCTGTCCTTAAGCCAATGTTCTATCTAAGAACAAGAATATTTATCTAGACCAATTTCTTTTAGTTTGAAGACTAACCTATTGTGAGGAACTGTATCAAATTCCTTGGCAAAATCCAAGTAGATCACATCCACTGCAATACCGTGATCTATACTTCTACTTACTTCTTCTTAGAATGCAATTAGGTTAGTTTGACATGCCACAAAAAAAAAAACAAATGCAGGCAAGCGTAGGATGTCTAACCAATCCTAGGCTGACTGCGTTGCCTGGAAATATAATATAGCGATGTAGCGTGCAAAAATATTAACTAGGGAATATATCCAATCTAACCCATCTAATAAAAAATATAGAATAGATATAACATAAATGCTAATATTCCTATGCTCACTAAAAGGGAAATGCACCAAAATCAAGACCTGGCAATATATCATATAGATATATAGAGGAGACTAAACTCCTATATACCAGCTTTAATTGAATACCTATGCTAAATAGGAGAAAGTATACCTATATCTGTCTAATTGCCAGTGACTATCTTCTAAAGTGCAAAACCCCACAAATGCCTTATATCCATATATATATATATAGTAAACAACCAAAGAGTAAATGGCTGCTAATAATATATGCCCTTGCAAAATTAATTTGTATTGAGTCCAGCCATATGTAAACCAAAATATTATAAAGACAGCAGACCTTAAACAATATACAGGAAGAGGTCTATAATAGTCAATAATAGAGAGAGATTCTTAAATATAGATATGAAGTAGAGAAAAGTTGGTATAAACTAATGGTCAGTCAAAAACAAACTGCCATATATTTATTAAGTTATCAAAGCCTCTCTCCCTGGTAAACTAGCTAGACAGGCATAGGAATATATTAGAAGGTAGAGCAAAAAAAAATATTAAGTGCAATTCATAGTGCTAAAGTGCCATTCAGTGCCCAGTGTAGAAATTGGCAAAACGCCCAACGCGCGTTTCGGTGCTTAGAGAGTGCACCTTCGTCAGGGGCCAACTTACTATTCGTAATGGTGTCTCTTAAATACCTTAAGTGCCCAGGTGTTCCTCCTCGCATCAGCCAATCTGTATATAGAAGATATGTTCCCCACGTGTGTATGATTACCTACTCATACTTCCGTGTTGCGTCTACTGCCCACGTGATATCAAAGGGGCGGGGCCAACACGTCATCCGTCCTATTCCAGGACGGACACATTGATCCCGGGTACGCCCCTACATGTCATCAGGTAGGCGTGTCGATACCTGACAGCCTAGGTGTCCGAAAGCTGTCTATCACTCGTGTGGGCGTGTTCAAGATGTAGCATGCTTACATGATGTAAATACAAGCCTTTATTATCCGTCCTATCAATCGGTCTATGTTGGAGTGTCCACCATATGTCACATTATCCATATGGGAACCCTATTATATTACCACTCATACTTCCGTGTTGCGTCTACCGCCCACATGATGTCAAAGGGGCGGAGCCAACACGTCATCCGTCCTATTCCAGGACGAACACATTGATCCCGGGTACGCCCCTACATGTAATCATGTAGGCGTATCAGTGCCTGGCAACCTAGGTGTCCGAGAGCTGTCTATCCCTCATGTGGGCGTGTTCAAGATGTAGCATGCTTACATGATGTAAATACAAACCTCTATTATCCATCTTATCTGCCGGTCTATATTGGAGTATCCACAATATGTCACATTATCCATCTGGGAACCCTATTATATTATCACATATAGATAGACCTATAGATATGTCCAGATCATTCTGCATTAATATATTGATCTCATATTGAAAATGCCGAAGAGAGGGGGTCATACAAATCATATCTAATAATGTTACCCAAGGCTAGATCCTTAACTTTATTACTAATTCCTCGGGTTACAGAGCTGGAGAACATAATTAATATCTTCATGGCTGTCTGTAGGTGGAAATTAAAATGCATAAAACCCTATATATATACTAGTCTAAGTAATGGCTATATTAAGCCCACAGCTACATCTACTATTTACAACAATTACAAGTGCCACTACCAAGGTATAAATCATTACAGCCTATCAAATAATACTTATATACATAATATACAGTGGTATAGAGAGATACCAGTTGTGTCCATACAGACCAAAACTGAATTAACCAATTTAAATCTTATATAAAAGATGCATATGAAAATCCCTCATTCAGACCAAGGGGAGAGAGCGTTTTCAATTTATAGATCCAAAAGCTCTCTCTTTGGAGTAGTCTTTTGTCCAAATCCCCTCCCCTTGGTCCAAGTATAACTTTTTCAATGCCACAAAATCTGATGCCCTCTGCTGAACCTCCATGATGTAGTTTGAGATGTTTAGAAACTGGAGTGTCGACCAATCTTTTCGGATTCACCGAATTTACATGTTCCCCAATCCTCAGTTTAAATTTTCGTGAAGTCTTGCCCACATATAATTTCTTACAGGAGCATGATAGTAAGTACACAATTCCCATGGTTTGACAATTAAAGAAATTCTTAACTAGAAATTCTTGTTGTCCTAAAGAGTCTTGGAACTTTTTTGATGGTCTGCGTATAAATTTACACGCCTTGCATTTGCCACATTGATAAGTACCCAAAACCGTGGATTTTAACCATGTATTTTTTTGAGGTGTACTTTTTAGATGACTAGGGACCAAAATGTCCTTGATATTGCGGCCCCTTCTAGCTGTCACTGATGCTCTTGGGGTAATGACTTTTTTTAGGTGTATATCTTGGTGTAGGAGGGGCCAAAATCTATCCAAAATATCCATGATCTGGTTCCAACCTGCATCAAAATTCCCTATGCACCTAATTATCTCTTGTGTTAATTTAGGGATGCTTTTGTCCTTTAACAGTTCCCACCGCTCTTCACATAGTGCGCGTTTATATGCATATTTTAAACACCTATTCGGGTAGCCCTTCTGTTTGAATTGATGTTGCAGAGCTCTAGCCTTAATTTTAAAGTCTTCAATATTTGAGCAATTTCTTCTAAGACGCAGGTATTGCCCAATTGGAATCCCTCTTTTTAGTGAGGGAGGGTGATAACTTGTCCAATTTAAAAGGTTATTCGTTGCAGTCGGTTTACGAAAGAGTGTAGATATAAGATCTCCTTCATCTGTTAAAGAGATAGTAATGTCAAGGAAATTAATTTCATTTCCCCCAATTTCACTGGTCAATCTCAGGTTGATATTATTGAGATTGAGAATTGCCACAAACTCTAGAAAGAGCTCAGCTGTATCCGTCCAGATAATTAATACATCATCGATGTATCTTTTCCATAACTTAATGTGTCTTGTGTATTTTTCCATATTGACATTAAACACAGTAGTGCTTTCCCACCATCCCAGGTGGAGGTTGGCATATGAGGGGGCACAAGCCGTCCCCATAGCTGTCCCTCTCACCTGGTGGTAGTACTTGCCTTGAAAGATAAAGTGGTTATGCGTTAAAATGAATCTCATTAAATCCTGAATGAATTCATTATGTCTTAACGAAACCACTGGTGTTCTATCCATGATTGCTCTAAGATGTTGCAATCCCACATCATGAGGTATAGAGCTATACAGGCTTTCAACATCAAGACTGCATAAAATGGCATCCCCATTAAGTTTGATGCTTCCAATGATGTTTAACATATGTTTCGTATCTTTCAAATATGAGGGGAGCTCAAAGACAAGTTTCCTCAAGATTTGATCAACATATAAACTAGCATTTTGGGTCAGATTTCCTCTGCCCGATACTATCGGCCTCCCATTAAGTGTTGGTTGCTGTTTATGCACTTTTGGAAGTGCGTAAAAAGTGGCTGTAATTGTTTTTTTGACAAAAATGAAATTATATTCTTCCTTAGATATCAGCGATAGAGACAGTGCATTATCTAAGATCATTTTCAATTCTGCTAGATATTTTTTTGTGGGATCTCCCTTCAGTAGTTCATACGTATTTTCATCCTTAATCAATCTATGAACCATGGAAACATAGTCTACTTTATCTAAGATGACCGTATTGCCCCCCTTATCAGAGGGCTTAAAAATCACCTCTTCTAATTTTTTTTAGATGTTTAAGGGATATATTTTCTTGTGTAGAGATATTACTATTTGGTTGTACCATAAGGTCTCTGTAGTTAATTTTATCAATTTCACTACAGGTTAACTCCACAAACAAGTCTATATATTTGAAATAGTTTGACATGACCTATGTTTCATAAAACCATGCTGATTATTGCTAATAACAAAGTTCTTCCCGATGAATTCCTGAATATTATCCCTTAATAGCCCTTCAAATATTTTCCCAGTCACATAAATTAAGCTCACAGGTATATAATTTCCAGGCAAGGATTTTGAACCCTTTTTAAATATAGGAACAACATCTTCCTTTCTCCAATCCTCCAATACAATACTTGAAACAAAACAAAAGAATCTTGAAAGATTAAATGCAGAGGTTCACTTATTTCCCTACTTGGCTCCTTCAGTACTCGTGGGTGAATACCATCAGGCCCCGGAGCTTTATTTACATTAATTTTCTTTAACTGCTGTAACACCTTGCCTCGAGTCATCCAATCACAAGTTATCTGAAAGTTTTTTGCTGCAATTATTTGTTGTAATTATCATAGTAATTCAATTAAAATAATGTCCTATAATATTTTAACAGTTTTATAGATGTACCCCCTAGAAACAATGCATGTAATTCTTGTTGCATGTTTTCTTTGTGGGCATATGATATATGGGCTTGCGAGTGCTGCAGGTCTAATATATGAAGCAACAGCAAGCCCTCCCCTTCTTCCCTCCCACAGACTCTTTTGTTTCAACCAATTAGAGGCTTTTCAAAGAGTAGCCATAGAGCAGCTTTGTATGCACTTAGTTTTCCAATTGCAGACTTCTCCATGAGCTGTATTATAGCTCTATGAAAAATCTTTCAAAGGATGGTGCTCTGCACAATCGCTTGCCTTTTCGTATAGCTTAATGGAGCTAAACAACCAAGAAAAACATCTTCCAGCTGTCTGACTGAAGCCAGGAAGGTGTTTTTACATTCATTTCTATTCAAATTGTTAATTTCATAAAATGACGCAAATAGAAAGCTCCCTTTACATACAAAGTACTTCAACAAGCAGACATTCTTCATGCATTCAAAGTTTTAATTTAAATTATGTCAATGTTTTTGTTAACCCTCTGCCCTATAATGTTAGCCACTCTGTTCCATGTATAAAGGATTGGGATGTCTACCTGCTTGGAACACTATGAGAGTTTGATGTACATTCAAACATGCCTAGTTTAATATACGCTACATATATTTTTTTTCATGATATACACCTTCAAAGGCAAAAATAAAATATTAATTAAGATAAAATATCTACTTAAATTTTTTTTTTTTTAAGTGGGAATATATAACATTGTAATATTTTCCACAGAGGTCACACAGTTAAGTCCTGTAATGTGGTTTTTTAAATTTACCATTGGTTACATTTTAAGAGCAAATAAATAGTACTATTCTCAGCAATTTGAGGTTACTTACAATTTTTAAGTTGAATATTTATAAATATTGAATTTCCTTTTTGAATTTACACCCCGTTTTGGCCTTATGCCAATTTATCACTTTGAGTCCTACTGCTGAAGATCGCAATAAGTGTAAAATTCATTTCTGTGGGTATAATCTTGATAAATGACAGCATTTACTCCTGTAACTGGTGTATTGTTCTATGGCATTGGCTGTAGGCTTTTTTCTGTATCACAATTTTATGTCTGCAAAATATACTCTTTAAATAGTTTTATGCGTGTTGCGCCTGTAATATTTCTATATCTTACCTTTTACCACCAGTTTTGTTGAAGACTCTCATTTAAGTGACTGTAATATATTACTAAGTGTGTCTAATGTTGGGAAATTGGATAGAAGCCATTGTAATATTTTGCAGTCATAAAATCTATGGGTTGAACTATGGCAGCTAAATATGTATTGTTTAAGGAACAATAAACTTTAGCATTTTTATAAAATGGAAAAATTATTCAAATAAAAATTCAATTAATTTTTCATTATTTTTACTATATTTCTCAGAAAGTGCTGTATAATATCTAGCCTTCCCTGACATCCCACCCAAGCATGTTATAAAGCATTCGAATGAGACTTATGCGCTGGGTTCAGATATTGTACCATACAACAGCAATTCTGGCACTACCTTGACTTTGCAGATATATATCTATATCTATATCTCTATCAACAGAGTTGTGGTGGGAAAAAAGTGTGACTGAAAACTCCTTCCACCTGAAGTAAGTGGATAGTTAATACCGTATATACTCGAGTATAAGCCAAGTTTTTCGGCACATTTTTTGTGCTGAAAAAGCCCCCCTCGGCTTACACTCGAGTCAATGTCTGTATTATGGCAATTTACATTAATACAGACCAGGACCGCCGGGCTCATTACAAGCTCTTACTTACCTGTGCAGCAGCTCACAGTGTATATCTCGTGGTCTGCTCACCGTGTAGTTCAGCTCACAGTGTAAATCTTGAGAACCGCGGCCGTCAGAGTGTTGCCAAGGAGATCTACACTGTAAGCTGCTGCACAGGTAAAAGCTTGCTCCCAGCCCCCCCACTGCACAGCCCATCCCCTCAACCACCAGGGATTAAGATAGCCCCCCTCTCTGGCCAGGTATCAAGCAGGGAGGGGGGACAAAAAAAGAAACAAATATTAAAATAATTAAAATAATAAAATAACAATATTAAAATAAAAATGCCCTTCCCTCACCCAGTTTACACACACTGCATAAACACACACACTGCATTCACACAAACACACACTCTGCATCATATACGCACACTCTGCATCATATACGCACACTCTGCATCATATACACACACTCTGCATCATATACACACACACTGCATTCAAATTGTTAATTTCATAAAATGACACAAATAGGAAGCTCCCTGTACATACAAAGTACTTCAACAAGCAGACATTCTTCATGCATTCAAAGTTTTAATTTCAATTATGTCAGTGTTTTTGTTAACCCTCTGCCCTATAATGTTAGCCACTCTGTTCCATGTATAAAGGATTGGGATGTCTACCTGCTTGGAACACTATGAGAGTTTGATATACTTTCAAACATGCCTAGTTTAATATACGCTACATATAATTTTTCAAATAACTTTGCATTATATACACACACACTGCATTCAAACAAACACACACTCTGCATTATATACACACACACTGCATTCACACAAACACACACACACACTGCGTCAAACACACACTGCATTCATACAAATACACACTCTGCATTATATACACACACACTACATTCACACAAACATACACACACTCTGCATTCATTATATACACACACTGTAAATAATTATTCAATTTATGTAATTGTTTGGGGATCTAATTTTATTTAGAAATTTACCAGTAGCTGCTGCATTTCCTCGATATACTCGAGTCCCAGTTTTTTGTGGTAAAATTAGGGGCCTCGGCTTATATTCGGGTCGGCTTATACTCGAGTATATACAGTATATTGCTAAACACAAATACACCCATCAGTCAAGCCATAAGACTTGCTTTTCCCACAGAAATCTGACTTTAACAGTGCTCTCACTAGTGCAAGGGATTTTGGGTAGGCGTATGCAAATGAGCTCAACAAAGAACCACATTTTTGCTACATAATTCCACTTTATACATGGATTCCTTTGAGTATTCATCCACACTTTTTTTCCCATCACAACTCTTTTGGTATGTAGTTTACAAGTAATGTCAAGCCTCCATAGCAAGCCGGTAACCAACCTCATGCTGATGAGTTGCAATAACAACAAAACAGCTGTCCATCAGTGGTTCACTGGCTTTGCTCCTCTTGCAACTCCTTGGTTTTACACCCCTCCCTGTCAGAGGTGCCTCATTCCAGGACTATTTAGCCTTGACTTGCAGGAGTCCCAGTAAGGAAGTATTTCCCAAGTAAGTGGATTAATCTCATAAGAGCAAGCATTAGGCTGCTAGTCTAGGACCTGCCAAGAATGGGGTACATTGATGATGTGGCATGCTTATGCAATATATGATCATATAATGTAACTAAACCCACATTACTTTTTGCCTAGGTGACATGTTTTTTAAAGAAAACTATTACAATCTCTAAGATTTTAAATAATTGTTTAGTGAATAAGCGAGTGCGCTGGATTCTGTATTTTGTGTGTGTGTGTGTGTGTATATATATATATATATATATATAATATATATATGCAAAAATATAATCTCATGGGACTTGAAGGGAAACAATGCGATTTAATTGAATATAATTACATCTGAGACAAAAATCGACATTTCGACCCTGGTGGGTCTTTTTCAAGATCTTGAAAAAGACCCGCCAGGGTCAAAACGTAGATTTTGTGGTTTGCCGAAACCGACAATGCAGTAGGCCTGTAATAAAGAGTAGGACCTCATCTAGGGAACCTGTCTTATAATCTTCCTCCAGGAGGTCAGGTAAGGGAAGATTTTTGAAGTAATTGGAGGCGGGCCCTACTTCTCTCGTAGTAGGGCTTGAGCATGCTCATGTAGAGCATGCGTCTCCCCCACTACCAGAGCAAGGGTCAATCATGTAAGTGGTGTCACATCTTAGTTCTACTACTTGGTATGGGCCCAGGTGACTTGTAAATTGTCGTACCATTGTCGTTGGCGGTTCTGCACCGCCTGTAGGTTGGTTTTCACAATCTGGGTCAATTCCTCCAAGCGGTCGCGTTACTCCAGCACATAAGGTATAATAGGTATATCATCTGACCTACTGCTCCCTACCACTCTCCTCCCAAATAGTAGTTCGAACGGGGAGAATCTTGTAGATTTCTTTGGTACCTCCCGTTATGCGAAAAGGAGGTGCAACAGGAATCGCTGCCAGTCCCAACTCGTGGCCGCGAAAGTCCAAAGCATTTGTTTCAGTGTTTCATTGAACCTTTAGCATAAACCTTTTTGTATGGTGGTGGTAGGGAGAACTGATAATCGGTTTAATGCCACATAGTCTCCAAAGCTGTTGGGTGACTTCTGCAGTGAACTGAGTTCCCTGATCCAACACTACATCTCCCGGGGAAATCCCATTTGGGATAAGACTTGCATAAGAACCTCAGCCATTGTCTCTGTTTGTATGTTAGGCAGAGCCACAGCTTCTGGGACCCGGGTCGCATAGTCTACTATAGTGAGGATATACTTTTTGCCGGATGGACTCGGCTTGGATAGGGGTACTACTAGACAAAAATAACGAAAGGTGAAGCGCTACATACAAGTTGAAGTCCAATTGTTTTAACTGTCGTTCTTGTCGATCAGTATTTTCTTAGTGGTATATGGATCTTATTCTAAAGAGAAAATTAGAATATACTTAGTGCAACACTGTAAAAAATACTTTTGACACAATGTAAACTCTATTTATGGAACCACTCACATATTACTGAGCTTACGACCAAGCTCAGGGGTATACACCTTCAGGTCCGTAAAGGCGACCTTTCACCTTCTTTCATCCAAATGACAAATTCCCTGTTGCGGCTAGGGCTCAAGCAGAGATATATATGGTGCAATATAGTTTCAAATCCGTTTGTAAAGTAAAAAAATGTGCATATATACTCACAAGTCTGGAGCCATCCTCTTAGGCTCTTTTCCAAAACGTTGTGTAGTTAAGGACTACACACCTAATAGCAGGAACCGATATCCCAGTATTAATAACACAAAAATTTGTTTATTGTATTAAAAATTCTAATGGCCAATTAGAATCAATAAAAACAAAATATGATAAATATACAGTAATATAAAAATCTGGGCATAAAGGCAATATAAAACAATCCCCAGGACGCGTTTCGCCACACTACTGTTGGCTTCCTCAGCTGGGTGAAAAAAATCACAAACAAATTCTCCTACTTACAGAAGTCCTGCTCTTATATCTTGTCTGCAACTTTAGGGCTCGGCGTTCCGATGTTGTTTTTGGCGCGCTGATGTTCTTTCTTCCGGCTAGCCGACCCTATGCGTTCCAAGCCTCTTTCTCATTGCGGTTCACTTCCGCATATGACGTCACGCTACAATTCCTCCGTGCTTGGTCTCTCGTACCGAGTGCATCTGATTTCCATAACAAAGTTTCCATATTTCCCAGATGTATCTCTTGTATTTCTCATCGAATGACTGCTATATCAAAGTATTGTATGTGTCCATAACTAAATTGTGCACATATAACAAGGAAAGTAACTCTTATACAAAATGCATATACATAAAAAATACATAAAAAATACCTTTCTCATTTATCACATTCTTTAAGTAAAAATAGTGATATCAATGATACTCATACTGGTAAAAACCCTATGTATGAGATCTAGTAAGAACAATATCTCCAGTTTAATACAGTACCCACAGAATAAATAATTCTCATAATATTTAATAGCAATTATAATAAAAAAAAAAAAAATAAAAAAAAAAATTCCATGTCTCATGTTGTAAAGAAATGTACCTTATTGTGCAATATATAATTGATGTGATTCTATCAAGAACAATGATTTTCAAAAATCACCTATACAGAAGAAATATGTATATCTATGATAATTAAAATATCTATTTACTCTCATCTCTAGTCTATACATTCTGTGATAGGCATATATAATCCATGAACTATAAGAAGAATATAATTAATTTAAAAAGTGACAAATTTCAAAATCCGAATTTAAACCATAAGGGGTAAGAGTATTCAATTCAAAAATCCACTTCATCTCCTCCTTACTCAATCTCTGATTAAAATCTCCCCCTCTCCAATCTTTTTCCACTCTACTTAAACCTAAAAATAGGCTGCCTAACGGTGATTGGTCGTGGTGTATTTTGTAATGGAGGGGTACACTATGATTCTCTCCTCCCTTAATAATATTTCTACTGTGTTCCTCGATTCTTACATGGAGTGGCCTAGTGGTTTTACCCACATAATTTAATCCACAGGGGCATTGTATTACATAAATCACATTATTTGTGTGACATGTAATTGCATCTTTAATTTCGTATTCTTTCTTATCTTTATTCATAAAGTGTGTGATTTTCCTTTTTTTATTTCCCGTTCTTTTACACGCTAGACAATATCCACAGCCAAAAAAACCTTTTTCTTGTTGAAAAAACTTATTATTATTTTTCTTTTCCCTAATAAAACTGGATGTAAGCATGCTACGTAGATTCCTTACTCCTCTGTGGATGAACTGTGGTTGAGGTGGTAGAATATCTTCTAATATTGGGTCCTGACGCAAAATCGGCCAGAATCTTTTTATAACATTCCTAATTTTAAAATTCTCAGTACTGTAATTGCAAATAAAAGGTACTCCTTCCATATTATGTTGTGTTCGATTCTTATATCTTAAGAGATCGCTCCGTTCTGTCTTTTTAACTTGTATCCTAGCTTCTTCTAATTTATTGTCCTCATATCCCTTTTTTTTAAAATCTTGTTTAATCTTCCTCGATTGATTATTATAATTCTCCAAATCTGTGCAGTTCCTCCTAATACGTAAGAATTGTCCTCTAGGAGCATTCTCCAACCATGGAGTAAAATGACAACTAGCCTTTTCAATAAAACTATTGGCATCTACTGCCTTAAAATAATTTTTCGTTTTAATTTTGCCTTCTTCTATAAAAATAGTTAAATCTAAGAAGGATATTTCTTTATCACTCCAAACACTGGTGAGACTTATCCCCCATGTGTTCAAATTTAAAAAGGCTAAAAACTCCTTTAAAAGTGAAACTCCTCCTTTCCAAATGAAGAAGATATCATCTATGTAACGACCATAGGTGGCCAAGTTCGCCCCCCATCCATGTCCTTCATATATAAAATATTCTTCCCAATATGACATGAACAGGTTGGCATAGCTGGGGGCGAACTTGGTCCCCATGGCCGTTCCATTCATCTGTAGAAAAAATTCCCCTCCATACCAGAAATAGTTATTTTCTAGGATTAATTTAATGCCCTCTAGAATATACTCTATTTGAGTCTCCAGGAAATCGGAGTTATTTCTTAAAAAGTGGGCTACTGCTCTGCATCCATACTCATGTGGTATGTTGCTGTATAATGACGCAACATCACATGTTACTAGTAAAAAAAACCCTAGCCTGGAAATTCAGGAGAAATTTAACAACTATTTGAAAAAGGGATTAGATGTGGGAATATTGAGTCAAAAAGAATTTGACTATATCAATATTTTACATCCAAAGGTCCCTGTTTTTTATTTCCTGCCCAAAATACATAAGAGTATTACTAATCCTCCAGGCAGACCGATAGTGGCCGGGATAGATGCCATATCTAGCAGATTGTCACATTATATAGATTTACAACTTCAACCATTAGTACAAAATACAAAATCATATATAAAGGACACCATAGCAGTATTAAATATTTTGAATAACTGCGTATGGGAAGAAAATTTTTTACTAGTAACATGTGATGTTGCGTCATTATACAGCAACATACCACATGAGTATGGATGCAGAGCAGTAGCCCACTTTTTAAGAAATAACTCCGATTTCCTGGAGACTCAAATAGAGTATATTCTAGAGGGCATTAAATTAATCCTAGAAAATAACTATTTCTGGTATGGAGGGGAATTTTTTCTACAGATGAATGGAACGGCCATGGGGACCAAGTTCGCCCCCAGCTATGCCAACCTGTTCATGTCATATTGGGAAGAATATTTTATATATGAAGGACATGGATGGGGGGCGAACTTGGCCACCTATGGTCGTTACATAGATGATATCTTCTTCATTTGGAAAGGAGGAGTTTCACTTTTAAAGGAGTTTTTAGCCTTTTTAAATTTGAACACATGGGGGATAAGTCTCACCAGTGTTTGGAGTGATAAAGAAATATCCTTCTTAGATTTAACTATTTTTATAGAAGAAGGCAAAATTAAAACGAAAAATTATTTTAAGGCAGTAGATGCCAATAGTTTTATTGAAAAGGCTAGTTGTCATTTTACTCCATGGTTGGAGAATGCTCCTAGAGGACAATTCTTACGTATTAGGAGGAACTGCACAGATTTGGAGAATTATAATAATCAATCGAGGAAGATTAAACAAGATTTTTTAAAAAAGGGATATGAGGACAATAAATTAGAAGAAGCTAGGATACAAGTTAAAAAGACAGAACGGAGCGATCTCTTAAGATATAAGAATCGAACACAACATAATATGGAAGGAGTACCTTTTATTTGCAATTACAGTACTGAGAATTTTAAAATTAGGAATGTTATAAAAAGATTCTGGCCGATTTTGCGTCAGGACCCAATATTAGAAGATATTCTACCACCTCAACCACAGTTCATCCACAGAGGAGTAAGGAATCTACGTAGCATGCTTACATCCAGTTTTATTAGGGAAAAGAAAAATAATAATACGTTTTTTCAACAAGAAAAAGGTTTTTTTGGCTGTGGATATTGTCTAGCGTGTAAAAGAACGGGAAATAAAAAAAGGAAAATCACACACTTTATGAATAAAGATAAGAAAGAATACGAAATTAAAGATGCAATTACATGTCACACAAATAATGTGATTTATGTAATACAATGCCCCTGTGGATTAAATTATGTGGGTAAAACCACTAGGCCACTCCATGTAAGAATCGAGGAACACAGTAGAAATATTATTAAGGGAGGAGAGAATCATAGTGTACCCCTCCATTACAAAATACACCACGACCAATCACCGTTAGGCAGCCTATTTTTAGGTTTAAGTAGAGTGGAAAAAGATTGGAGAGGGGGAGATTTTAATCAGAGATTGAGTAAGGAGGAGATGAAGTGGATTTTTGAATTGAATACTCTTACCCCTTATGGTTTAAATTCGGATTTTGAAATTTGTCACTTTTTAAATTAATTATATTCTTCTTATAGTTCATGGATTATATATGCCTATCACAGAATGTATAGACTAGAGATGAGAGTAAATAGATATTTTAATTATCATAGATATACATATTTCTTCTGTATAGGTGATTTTTGAAAATCATTGTTCTTGATAGAATCACATCAATTATATATTGCACAATAAGGTACATTTCTTTACAACATGAGACATGGAATTTTTTTTTTTATTTTTTTTTTTTTTATTATAATTGCTATTAAATATTATGAGAATTATTTATTCTGTGGGTACTGTATTAAACTGGAGATATTGTTCTTACTAGATCTCATACATAGGGTTTTTACCAGTATGAGTATCATTGATATCACTATTTTTACTTAAAGAATGTGATAAATGAGAAAGGTATTTTTTATGTATTTTTTATGTATATGCATTTTGTATAAGAGTTACTTTCCTTGTTATATGTGCACAATTTAGTTATGGACACATACAATACTTTGATATAGCAGTCATTCGATGAGAAATACAAGAGATACATCTGGGAAATATGGAAACTTTGTTATGGAAATCAGATGCACTCGGTACGAGAGACCAAGCACGGAGGAATTGTAGCGTGACGTCATATGCGGAAGTGAACCGCAATGAGAAAGAGGCTTGGAACGCATAGGGTCGGCTAGCCGGAAGAAAGAACATCAGCGCGCCAAAAACAACATCGGAACGCCGAGCCCTAAAGTTGCAGACAAGATATAAGAGCAGGACTTCTGTAAGTAGGAGAATTTGTTTGTGATTTTTTTCACCCAGCTGAGGAAGCCAACAGTAGTGTGGCGAAACGCGTCCTGGGGATTGTTTTATATTGCCTTTATGCCCAGATTTTTATATTACTGTATATTTATCATATTTTGTTTTTATTGATTCTAATTGGCCATTAGAATTTTTAATACAATAAACAAATTTTTGTGTTATTAATACTGGGATATCGGTTCCTGCTATTAGGTGTGTAGTCCTTAACTACACAACGTTTTGGAAAAGAGCCTAAGAGGATGGCTCCAGACTTGTGAGTATATATGCACATTTTTTTACTTTACAAACGGATTTGAAACTATATTGCACCATATATATCTCTGCTTGAGCCCTAGCCGCAACAGGGAATTTGTCATTTGGATGAAAGAAGGTGAAAGGTCGCCTTTACGGACCTGAAGGTGTATACCCCTGAGCTTGGTCGTAAGCTCAGTAATATGTGAGTGGTTCCATAAATAGAGTTTACATTGTGTCAAAAGTATTTTCTACAGTGTTGCACTAAGTATATTCTAATTTTCTCTTTAGAATAAGATCCATATACCACTAAGAAAATACTGATCGACAAGAACGACAGTTAAAACAATTGGACTTCAACTTGTATGTAGCGCTTCACCTTTCGTTATTTTTGTTTTGTGGTTGGTGTATATGGAAAGATTACACGTGGTGATATAGCAGCTAATAGCATAGTTATATACTGTGGAATTATTGTATAGCGCCAGTATATTATTCTTTTGTATAGGGGTACTACTAGATCTACAGCTACCTGTCCAAACAGTTCTTCTATGATTGGTAGGGTTTGTATTTGACCTTTTGGAAATCCACTATTTTTCTTACCCTTTTACATACATTGCAGTTTTGGCAATATTGCCGAATATCTTTGGATATGCTAGGCCAAAAGAAGGTGTGGGTGAGCTGGTACTTGATTTGGCTGACCTCTAAGTGTCCAGACAGGGGAATATTGTGGGCAATCTGGAGCAACTCTCTTATGTACTTCTGGGGGAATGACTAGTTGTCGGGGACTGGTATGGAGTCGGCCGGGACTCTTTCTGAGTCTAGTACAATAATCGTTGGTGCCAGGAGTACCTCTCTCCCTCTAATCCTGCCTAAGCATTGGCCACTCTCTCTATATATACTTGCAGGGTAGGGTTACTAAGGGTTTCTGCCCAAATTCTGTAAAGGATTGGGAAAGTTTTCCTACCTGGGCCTCAGAGTGCAAGTGGTTCTCTGTAGTGTGAGCCTGGGACTTGGTGGTTACTGGATAGGTCTTGTTGGTCATTGGGAAGGGTAGAAATGCAGAGGTTAACTTTCCAAGATCATTTCCCAGTAATATGTTGGTGGGGAGTTCCTGCATTAGCCCCACGTCAATCAGGCCCGACCATGCACCACAATTCAGATGTACTCTCATGGTGGGCAACCGATGTACTGCTCCCCCTGCTACCCGTACAGCTACTGAACCTCATGTTCAGTCAGAATTGAGAACCGGTTACTGTGGCTCCCTTGGTATGAATGGACTGTCACAGCGTGATAGTAGTGGGCTGCCGCCTGGGCTGGAGGAGGTTGTCCTGGTTGAATCCATTGTGCTTGGTTGAACCACTGGGTACAGTCTCTCTGATAGAGTCCAAATTGCTAACGCAGGTGATGGGAACCCGGGTGCCAGCTAGTTTAATCCCTCCTCTCTGCTGCACTGGTGTTCCGGGGTTGGTGATCAGTGGTCTGTGGACTGGTCTGAAGCTTTGCCGTTGCTGCCATTTGGCATCTCGATGAGTTGTTTCAGTTAGGGTAGTGGGCTTTCTGTCTATTACCCACTCTTGTATTTCAGGGCTAAGTCCATTATAGAATTACTCCAAGAAAATCAGCTGTAGTACATCTTCCAAGTTTTTGGCTTGGTTCGCTTACAACCATTCTAGGGTGGCCAGATGCATTCAGCATGCCCATTCGGTGTGAGAATCCCATTTGAGTTTTTTTCATTTCTCGAAACTGTCATCTGTATGCTTTGGGAGTAATCACATATCTTGCAAGTATCACCTCTTTCACCAGAATATCCTCACCTGGGACGGCCCAGTATGCCTCTGCTGCTCTGCCAGAAAGTTTACAAGCCAGGATACTGACCCAGTCTTATGGCAGTACCTGGTATAGGTGGCACTGCGACTCAAAGTCTTGTAGAAACTCATCTATGTCTTCCTCTGTGTTTCTACAAATTTCTTGAATGCATCATAGGAAATCTTCTGTTTTACTTCGGAAGTAGGTGTGGAAAGTGGCAGTCTTTGTAGGGAGCGTTGTTCTGCTAACCGGAATGGGTTCTCTCATTCTGCCTGTGCTGTGATGTAGGCATCTACCTCTTCCGAGGGGTTCCAGCTGTAGAACGCTAGCCGGCGTTGAACTTCACGATCAATTTCCGTTTCCACAGTTGCGGGCATATTGTGAAAGTTGCGGGACCAGTCTCCCTCCATCAACTCTGCTATTAACATTGCTTTTGTCTTGTTGCTCGCTATCTGCCTCGGGCTTCCAAATAGTTCCTTCAGAGTCAATCGCTTCAAAATGCCATAGTTTGCCTCCATTCATGATCCCGCCGCTTGCCAACAATTGTAGCGGAGCTCTGATACCATGACTAGGTATCTCCACTGTTCCTTCCTCAAAGCTGTAAGAAGCTCTGTAGTGAGTATAGCCCTTTCGCCCCAGCAACTTGACGGCACATAGATCTGGGAGTGAACTGAGGTTTATTGTGACACACTCAGCTTTTTATGTACAGACCCTCCAGCATGGGGTCTCCATAGAGAAATGTACAAGACCCTTCCAGGTGCCTCTGTGTCTGAGAGATAATTGAGTCCAAAGCAGGATAACTCAATTATCTCTCAGTTACAGGAAATAATACAGAATTATACAAAACACCCCAAAAACCTATCAAAATTATACAGGAACTCCACAAAAGTCATATCCCCAAATAGCTCGGGTCTGATCGCCCAAAATAGCACTCAGTTACCTTCGGAAGAACAGAATCGCCATTCAGCCAGCCATGAGGTGATGTCCCAAAACAGTTCCACAGAAAAGGAGGCAACAGCTGGTCTTTTTGGGGGGGGGGGGGTTCCTGTATGTACACCAATGAATACTCCTCCTGGCTTTTAGGGAGCTAATGCTCCCCCTGTTCGGTAGTTCCTTTCTCCCAAACGCCATTCTCCTAACTGTTCGGGAAGTTGAACGGGCAGTGGTACAAGTTTCCCCAGTGTTCTTGGGGTCGCATAGCCGACATAGATTTCCATACACATTTGACGACCAAGTACCGCTACCTGCGTTCCGGAGACAAACCGGCCAAACTCGTTGAAGCACGTGTATTCTGGTATACGAATGGCGGCCACTCAGGGAAAGCACTTGAGATAATTGCTCATTTGTGGTTAACAGCCAGGGGTGGTCGGTGCTCGTGGGAGTGTAAAAGAGGGACCACACATATTCTCTTCGGGAACCGAACAGAGGGGGCACGGACAGCCAAACAAAAGGGAAATAAGTATTTTATAGCTAATCCATTCCGCTATACCATCATTACCATTTATAGTGACAGAATGACAGATTGATATGGTGACTGCAAAGAACAGACATTTAGTTTGTACAAAGGTGGTCTGTCACTCTCAAACATCGGCACATTGCTTTTATTTGGAATGCACTAGCAACATGTCGGCTCCAATAAGGGATTTTCTCTTGAGAAGTGAAGAATATGCAATATTGAAAATAGTGTTTTTAGACCAAGAGTAATAAATTAAAGTTAACCATACTCATAGTTGTGTTTTTTTTTTCCAAAGATCTGGCATGATGTTCACTATTGATATTCTGTAAAATACATTGTAACAAAGACCGCGTAATTTCTGTAGAACGAATATATATTCTTTTTAATTTACTATAAATAATACATTGGTAAAATAGCATTAAAGTGTTTTATTCTATTATACTACATTGCCATGATTTACATAAATATATTTCCCATGGTATACACATTGTAAACTAGATAAAAAAAAAAATCCAATTTTCATTTATGTGTTGTGGAATCATTTAATACTGTCCTGTGTAAAATAATTAAACTGTAACCTAAGTAAACTGTTTCTCTTAGAAACCTGCACTCTCCAGTCTATGGATGAACATTTATATACAATCGGATTCTGAAATCCGTAATGGTGTGTTCAGGGCCGGACTGGCCCACCGGGATACCCGGAAATTTCCCGGTGGGCCGTCGGCACCTGGGGCCGGGCAGACACCTGGGTCTGCTGTCGGCCGCTGGCAGGGGCGGGCTGGGCCGGGGGGCAGGGAGGCAATTGCCCCCCAGGCCGCCCTAAATTCCTGTAAGACCAGCAGCCGCGGGCCGGCCCTTTAAATACTGCAGCCGCCCGAGCGCTCTGTTACGAGCCTCAGGCGGCTGCAGCTTCTCCCTCCCCTGTAGCGTGGCCGAGCTGCACTCCGGTCGCCGGCCGGCCGGAGTGATAGGAAGTGCACACTCAGTGTGCACCTTCCTATCACTCCGGCCGGCCACCGCAGACCGCGGACCGGAGTGCAGCTCGGCCACGCTACAGGGGAGGGGAGAAGAAGAGGGGAGGGGGGG